CACATAGAACATAACAAAAAAAAAATTAACTGCTGAGCCACCTCTCCAGCCCCTGCCACGTGGTTCCCCCGCCCCAGGATTATAGCAGAGAGGGGCTTCCTATTGACACATAGAACATAACAAAAAAAACCAAACAAACGAGCAATATGCTGGGGGATAAAAGATAGCCTATTCAATAAATGGTGCTGTCACAATGGATATCCATTGCAGAACAAAATAAGATTTATCTCTCATTCAGAAGAAAAATCCATTCAAAACCCATCAAAGACCTTAATTTAAAATCTAAAATTTCCGAACAAAACTCCAATAGCATAAGAAGTGACCTTAAGATCCCAAAAACGGCACTGCATGAAATTAAAAATCTCTGCCCAGTAAAGGAAAGCATCAGTAGAGGGAAAAGAGCCTGAAGAATGGGATGAAATCTTTACCTAACTAAATTTCGGACGGGAGTTAAGAGAATTGCAACAGGTAAACTGCCACAGAGAACTGCACCAGGTAAACACAATCTTTTAGCTGGGTGCTAGGTGCCTGTCTTTGGGAGGCAGAGGCAGGTGGATCTCAGAGATAGAGCCCAACATCATCTACAGAGGGAGTTCCAGAATAGCCAGGGCTACACAGCAAAACTCTGTCTTGAAAAAACAAGAAAAAATAAAACAAAATTTTCCAATGAGAATATGAGCTAATGAACTGAATAGACAGTTCTCAAAAGAAGAAACAGAAATGGCCAATAAATATTTGAGAGGTCCTCACCGTCCTCAGCCATCAGGGAAATGCGTTTGAAGACCACTTTGAGATTTCATCTCTCCCTGATCAAAATGGCTATTATCAAGAAAACAAATAACAAAATGCTTCTCAGAATGGGTAGAAGGAGAAACCCTAAGTTACTGCTGGTGGGAAGATAAACAGGTAGAGCCACCACACTAAGAATCAAGATAGGGCTGGAAAATGGCCTAGCAGGTAAGAGCACTTGCTGTGCAAGCAGGAGGACCTGTGTTGGATTCCCCAGGAAAATGAAAAGGCAAGGTGGGGGAGGGGATAAGAGAGAGAGGATTGCTGGGGCTTGCTGACCACCAGCCTAGCCCAAAGTTCACTGAGAGATACTATCTCAAGGTAATAAGACAGAGACAGAAAAGCACACCTGACATCATTCTCTGGCCTCTCTGTGCAACACACACACACACACACACACAAACACACACACACACACACACACACACACACACTATATAAGTCCTCCCAAAACCTAAAAACTAAAGTACCATAAGACCCAGCTGCACCATTCCTGGACATGTTTATTGGCACACTACTTAAAACAGTCAGGAAATAGAATCAGTATCAATGTTCATCAAAAAATAAATGGATAATGAAAATTGTAATGCATGTACACAATGGATCTTATTTAGCTGTAAAGAGAAATGAAATTGGCAAGAAAATATACACATTTAGAAGTTATTGTATTAAGTGAGATAAACTAGTCTCAAAAAACACCTATTACATGTTCTCTTTCTTATAATTCTTAGATTTTAATTTTTACATATGTGAAAGAGGTATAACATATATTATGATAGTAAACTGTCATGTGCCCTTAGCTCACTGAGAAGGGCACATGACATGTGCCACCTACTTCTGTGACAGGTAGAAGAGAAAAACAAAACAGCTAGGAGTGAAACATATTGTACCCATGAGAATAGCTAGAAGGTAAATTATTTCCAACAAATGCTGCTAATACTTGTCTCATAATATAAAACACCTACATGGTGGCTAGACAGATGGCTCTTCATTTAAGAGTACTTGCTGCTCTTCCTGAGGACCCAAGTTCTGTTCTCAGCACCCATGTGTGGCATCTCAAACCTTCCAGTAACTGCATCATTCAAAATGACTCAGGGGAGGAAAATATAACAGAAACAACACCAAGAAAGGTTGCTTAATATATGTTATACCTCTTTCTTGACAAAGAAAGATGAATTCCTGAAAGAAAACGTGCAAATCCAGGAAAAATACAAAGGAATAAACACAAATTATTTTATATATTAAATGTCATTAAAATAATGGGCTGTGAATATAGCTCGGTTGACAGAGTGCTTGCCTAGCATACATGAAGCCCTAGTTTAGTTCCTCATTGTGTACTGGGTGTAGTGATACATGCCACTATTCCAATATTTGGAAGGCAGAGGCAGGAGGATCAGAAGTTTATAGTCATCCTCAGCTAGATAAGAAATCTACAGCTAGACTAGGATATATGTGTCTCTGTTTCAAAACCATGTAATAGAAAACAATATGTGTTTTTACCTTATTTCCTAACAGTTTTCTAAGCTTATTATTACTGGATGTACGTGGTGTGAGTGTTTCAGCACAGGCATGCTTATGCTCAGACATGTTTGTGAAGGTCAGGGGATGGCTTTCACACATCTGTTCTTTCCTTCCACTGTGGGTGCCATGGACAGAACTCAGTATGTCTTGCTCACACAGAGAACATGAATTTACTCGCTAAGCCTTTTCACTGGCCGGTTTGCTCTATTTTAAACCCAGTGCTCCTCTGTAGCATCAGACTTACTTAGTAATAGTCAAGTTGATATTTTACCTGATTACAGATGGGAAAAATCCTGTCAATTAGAAATGCTTTGGCTTTGATTAATCCCAATCAAGGAAATGGCATTTAAATTCATCTAAAATGAAATGCAAATCATCCTAGATGAATGGGGCCATCTGGACGACCTGAAGTCACCTTCATGCAGGTGAATCCAATTTGGGTTTTGCTTTCTTGAATTAAAAATCAAATACTCTTATTTTCTCTGTAGCATTTAACATTACTTTATATAAATATTATTTGTTTGTTTACTTGTTCATTTCTTCATTCCCCTAAGTAGAAATTAACTCCAATGACTTCTGGGATCTTAACTGCTTTGCTCTGCACTGCATTCCTAGTACTCAGAACAGCACAGCTCCCAACATAAACACTTTCAGGAATGCCTACAAAGAGAGTGTACCTCTATGAACTCTCAAAAATTTAAAATCATAAATACCAAATCTTTCAAAATGTATGACTACTCTAGAGACTGATGTTTATAGAATTAAAAGGGAAGAATCAGAGATAAATGAGACTAGAAATCACTCAACTAGGAAAAGATAGTCATAGGATATTTAAAATACCAATCAGTGCCTAAATGCTTCCCAAATCTGTCTTTTTCCAAGATGATTAATTCTGAAATAATTTTAGTTGCTGTTCTTGTTTCATTTCACTTTTGAAACAAAAGGTTTCTTAAACAATTTCTCCATATTGTACAAACTCCGAATTTACAGACTTTCATTAGAAATATTTTTTCACCTTCCAATGGAGACATCTAAGACAGGGTGATATATAATGAGAATAAAGCCTGGTCTCTGGGTCCTTATTAGGGAAAAGGGGAACAAGCTTCAGAGCAGGAAAAATGCAGCTATAAAGAACCCACTGGAAGGATGCAAAAGCAAGCCTGCCTTGTACATTATGGCATTTTCACCTGGTTCCCCGCCACTACCTCCCAGAGGACTAGAAGATAGATAGATAGATAGATAGATAGATAGATAGATACATACATACATACATACATACATACATACACACACACACACACACAAACTATTAGGAAAGAGAACATCACATGTAAATTATCCCATATCATTGAAAAGCAAGTAATTTTAGAGAGAAGATTCAAATGAGGGAAAAAAAATTCTGATTTGATAATGCTCAGTATAATGGTTAGTATTTTAATTGACAATTTCATTATAAAATACAGCTGAGAAGTATTTTTAATTTTTAGTCTTTTCTTAGTTTTTTAATCCTGGAATTAATAATATCATAAAGATAATTTTAATAGCAAAGTAAAGTTAACAATGGTATCAGTTACTAGCATTTTCATAACTCAAAATTAACCATAATTTTCTTCATTCCTTACATTGATCACATTACAGAGTATATTAATCAGTTTTTCATCACTATAACAAAATTACTGAGGGCTGGAGAGATGGCTCAGGGTTTAAGAGTGCCATCTGCTCTTCCAAAGGTACTGAGTTCAATTCCCAGCACCTACATGGTGGCTCATAACCATCTATAAAGAGATCAGGTGTCCTCTTCTGGGGTGTATGAATAAATACATGCAGAACATGGTATATGTGATAAATAAATCTTTAAAAAAATTACTGAGATAATAAATTGCTGTGGAATAATCTTTTGGCACACTGTGAAGATGTGTTACTCAGACTGGTTTAATAAAAAGCTGAATGGCCAATAGCTAGGTAGGGTTTTGGGGGCAGAGAGGAAGGCAGAGTCACCAGTGCATGCAGAAGGAACAGACATGCAAGGAAAGAGGTAAAAGTCACGAGTTACTCGGCAACATGTAGATAAATAAAAATGGGTTAGTTTAAGTTATAAGAGCTAATTAGAAACAAGTCTAAGCTATCAGTCAAACTTTAAGAATTAATTAAGAAGTCTCCGTGTTGTTTATTTGGGAGCTGGATGGCAGGACAGAGAAAGACTAGCAACATAAACTTAGTAAGGAAAATGTCAACTTTGCCACACAGTTCCAGAGATTTCAGTCCATGGTCACTTGGCCCTATTATCTTGGACGTGTGGTGGCCCAGAACACTGGCAGGAAGGTACAGTGGAGGAGACCTATTCCCTTCATGCAAATAAAGAAGCTGAAAGAGACAGAGTGGCCAGAGTGCCTACATCCAGCTAACCAGCATACAGCCATTGCCAAGGCCGCCTTGCAATAGGTCTCACCATCTCCCAGATATGTTACAGTCCAGGGAACAAGCCTTTAACACATGTACCTCTGGAGGGAAGACAACAAGAGCCTAATGACACAAAGGTCCTGTGACCTCCATTTTACACATTAGAGAACAGAAACTGTTAAGAATTTGCTTAGAACTATGACAGAGTAGGAAGCAGAACCAAATTCAGACCTAAGCAACTCAACAAACTGAAACTCAGAGTAACACACGGACTCCAGACAATGGCTTACCAAAAAGTGATGAACACAGGGCAAAAGCACAATGTCCGCCAAGGTGAAGTACAGTCCTTCTGCAAACACGTGCTCCAGAGGCGGAAGGGCAGAGGCTTTTGCTTTCCTGATGTGAGAAGGCTCCCTGTTGGTATCAGCTGTGTCTTGCATTGTGAGCTTTGAGAATGCCACCTTTAGTTCCAGACTCTTGGACGAGCCAGACAACTCTTTGGATGGTTTCTGTGCACCAGCCTTGCCCTTTGCTTTTCCCTTGCCAGAGGGAGGCTCAACTCCAGCAGTCTTCTGTTGCTTTAGCTTCTGTCTACGGAGTTTGTCATCATTGTGTACTCTGACAGGCTCACTGAGCTTTCTCTCAAGCTGTAGGATTTCTTCAGGGATAGCTGGGGACTGGTCAGAAGACTCTTGGAGAAAATTCTCAACAGCCAAAGGGATGGTGAGTTCACATAGCCTGGTCCACTCACTGACCTACAAGACAATCAAGACATGAGCCATTCTCTCCTCTCCAATATCCTGTTAGTTGGGAAATAAGAGTGTCTTAAGGCTGAGAGATGATGGTTCAACAATTAAAGGGATGAGCCATTCTCTCCTCTCCAATATCCTGTTAGTTGGGAAATAAGAGTGACTTAAGGCTGAGAGATAATGATTCAGCCATTAAAGGCTAGGCTCAAAACTAAAAATATAATGGTTTAAATAAATTAAGTGATGGGCTATAGCATCCTTGGCTTGACTTCTGTGCTAGATCAGAAAACACATTACAATGATTCAAAAGTGGAGACCTTAATGATGCAGCTTCTGCAATTCTGTATCATCCTACTGAATAAATCACTGCCTCCCATGGGGGTTTGAGTGACAACAGACTCACTATTTGAATACTTGGTCCAGTTTGTTGGAGCTGTTTGGGAAGGATTAGGAAGTATGGCCTTGCTGGAGATGTGACAGGCATGAAAGACTTTGGACTAGGAAAGCAGCTGAATGCTAGAAGACGTGCTCAAGGGGCCATCCTAGTAGGAGCTTGGAAGACCATAGTGCTGAGAACAATGGAGCCCATAGAGACCCCAGCTCAAGAGAAACAATATCAGCCACCAGTCTAGAAACCATTCTTGTGATGCTTTGGCAAAGAAATGTGGCTGCTTTTTGCCTGTGTCCTAAGAATCTGCCTGTGGCTAAATTAAAAAGGAATGAACTAATTTCCTTGGCTGAGGAGACTTCAAGACAGCCTAATATTGACTGTCCTATGGTTGGTTATTAGTATCACTCTTATGCAGATCTAAAGTAAAAAAGAAAGAGCGATACAAAAGGAAATACAAAATGTACAGATGGAAGGGGAAAAGAGCACCAGGAAATGGAACAAGTTAACCTTGGAGCCAAGGTTTGTTTGTGCTCAATAAGGACAGGCCCTAGGCAAAATAGAGTAAAAGGAGGGGTCACCTCAGGACAAGAGCCTACCCAGTTACACTTCCAACTTGTACAAGGAAAATGCTTGAGGGATTTCCTGCTGCTACAAAGCAACAACAAAAAAGCTTCTATAAATGAAAGTCAAGGAGGGAGCCAAGCTCCAACCCAAGTGGACAGCGTATGGTCTGGCTTTAGAGTTAGGACAGATACAAGAATTAAGGGATTACAAAATCTTGCTCCACGGGTAAGGAGCACTGCTGAGGCCAGGTGTAAGGCAATCAAGTCCCTGCATGGTAGCCTCAAGAGGCCACTGCATAAAGCTGGGAAAATGAAGCCTGAATTGTGCTGGGGACCCCAGGATACCACAGCCAAGAGATATCTGTCATAGAATGCTACAGATGGGGTGGAACCAGGCCAAGAGAAAGAAGTGTGTTGCAATCAGCTAGGTCCAAATAGTGGAGCCATCTAAGCCCTCTGATTTCAGACATGGAGCTACAGTATCTAGGGTTGGTCCTTTAGGATTTCAGTCTTACACTGGTCCAATATTTCCTAACTCCCTTTTGGAATGTTAATATTACTTAAATGTCATTGTATGTTGGAAGTATGTAATTTGCTTTTTGATTTCACATGTGGTTACAATTAAAAGATTGCCTGAAGTGTCAGAAGAAACTTTAGACTTTGAAACAGTATTGAACAGTGCTGAAAGATATGGGGACTTTTGAAGATGAACTAAATGCATTTCACAATTCACAGGCCACTAGCCTGTAGAGGCTATCAAGTAGAACGTGGTGGTTTAAGTGAGAATAAGCCCACACAGGCTCATATATTTAAATACTTGATCCCCACTTGGTGGAACTGTCTGGGAAGGCTTAAGAGGCACGGCCTTGTTGGAGGAAATGTGGCTCTTGAACAGTTTTGAGATTTTGAAAATCTCAAGCCATTCTCTGTACATACTCTGCCTTGAGGGTGTGTCTGAAGATGAGATCCCAACTACTGTTTCAGCAACATGCCTGCCTGCTGCCACACTCTCTGCCATGATGGCCATGAACTCTAATGCCCCAAAACTAACCCTCCAAAAAACTCAGTCTTCTATAAGTTGCTATGGTGAGATACTGTTTATGATTTATTAAAGCTTGCCTGAGGATTCAGAAAGCAAAGTAAGCCACAGGCCAAAGAAACCAGGCACACACCTTTAATTCCAGCAGTCAGAAGCTAGGAGGTGGTGGTACACACCTTTAATCCTAGGATTCAGGATTAAGAGATAGACAGATCTCTGAGTCCAAGGCCACCCAGAGCTACACTAGAGTGAATCAGTCTAAAAGAGAATTATATCTCTTTAATCCCAACATTAGGAAGTACATAAGACAGAAGCAAGGTCTCAGAGTGGCATTCATTCTCCTGCAAGACTGAGGAGAGGCAGAAGTTTGAGACTTGGAGTAGCTCATTTGTGAATCAGTCCTTTCAGCCTGAGCTAGAGGTGAGAGCTATTGGCTAGCTGCTTTGTTTTTTCTGATATTCAGGATGACACTTTAGCCCCAATATCAGTCTCTGGGTCTTTTATTTTTCGTGTTACAAGTTGCTTGGGCATGGCATCTTATCACAACAATAGGAAAGTAACTAAATCACCCCAAAAGCCTTTAAAACTCCCCATGGCTTACAAGGCACTATGACTTCAGCTCTTACATTATATGGACATATCTTTTAAAGACCCTCAATATAAAAGGGGAGCATTATTTCAAAACAATGTGTCTAAACTTCATAAAAACATCTGAAATTCTTATTGTTTAGTATTGCCCCGTAATGATGACACATCTAAAGAAACCTTTTGACTCTCTGATAAGAAGTTACAATCATGTTGGAGTGAATGTTATTACTTATAGCTTTAAAAAACCAAGAGACCATATACTTACTTCAGCACAGGCTTTAAGACAAGTCTTTTTAAAACCCAGAAGTTCCAAAATTTCCTTTCTTGACGGCTTAGCTTCATAGGATTTCTGGATTATGTGTCTCAGAACAACGGCAAGTCCTGCTCTACAGAAAACATCTGATTTTTCTACCACCGCAGGCAAGCAGCAATTCTGGACTATCGGTGGGACATCCTGTCTTGAAATGACCTGTATGTCCACATCCTGGGACAGTGCCTCTCTTAGGAGTGAAGTGTCTGTGTTTTCTTCAGTAAATACTAAGTAGACATTAAAGACCTTGCAGTCACAGTAAGATAATAAAAACAGAGCTACAGACGTGTGGAGAGGAAAGATGCACCCTTCTGTTTGGTGAGAGTACTCCAGGTACAGAGACTCTGCCGTAGGACTCTTCTTAATGCCTTTCATTTTTTTCTTTTCATTGGACACCTATAACAAAAACCAAGATGGTTAGAGGCCTTCAGATATAACAGTTTAGAAGCTAAAAAATTAAGTGTTTTCAAAATATCAGCCAAGAATTTTTACTTCAAGGATGAATGGCTTCCGAAAGAAAATTTTTCCCCATTCTGCATGATTAAACATTTTCAGTGTTTCTAAATGATTCTAAGATGAGTAACCTTGGTGTTCTGTTAATCAGGATCTCTCTGAAGTATAAATACTACACCATCTCAATGACTTCTGAGTCACCATCACTTCTAAATTATATCAGTTGCCTCCGCCTCTCCCTGTCCCCATGAAGTTCTGCCACTCATCCTGTAGTATCTTTCCACCCTACTGAAATCAGTCAGGCCTTCCACACTGCCTACACAGATCCTAATGTAATTATTCTGCCTCGAGTTCATCTCATTGTTTTTCATTGCTTACTGCTTCCCCCAAAGTGAATTAAGATTCTCCCAAACTCTATCTACAATCCAACCACAAGATCTTCATACTCGGTATTTCTGGAACACAGAGCTCTGCCTATAATAATAGGTAGCATCTTACTGAGATCCTTGGCTACTTTTTATATTATAAACCCCAACCAACATACTCCCTTCACTTTGCCTTCTAAGCTGTAATTCCTCCTCAGCACTTGGTACCATTATAATACACTATTTTTTCAATATGCCATTTGTCTGTTAGATGATTTGAATATCCTGAAAGAGTATTTTGTGAACTATTATACTTAAAATAGGGCCTGCTAAATATCCGTATTAAAAAATATTTGCTGAAGGGATGCATGTATGAGTATACACACTGGTTGATTTAAAGACGCATATCTTGAGGCCAAATCATTTCTTTAAGGTTTTTGTCAATGATGACTTTTTGCTTTTGAGTTAACCACATTCTAATCCATAAACCACAATTCAAAAACGAACGCTAGATGGCACTCTTTAAAAGCATTTAGAATTATGTAACCAGAAGGTGTAATAGGAAAAAAAAAATGTATGTGCATGTATGTGTGTGTGTGTGTGTGTGTGTGTGGGAGGGGTGCCTGTGCATTTGTAGAAATTACAAAAGAACCATGAAAAAGGCATTTATAAACTTGATTCACTTTGAGTACTTACTACTGTGAAATGTCAACAAAATAAAATAGAAATACTTTCCCAGGGTGAAATCAGAAAAATGAATGAGCTGTCCAGAGAAAATGCAAAGTACAACTGATTTCTTAGTGTTTTTTTCAATACCAACATTGGTGGGTTTTCTTCTCTCCCTATAGAAATACTTTCCCAGGGTGAAATCAGAAAAATGAATGAGCTGTCCAGGGAAAATGCAAAGTACAACTGATTTCTTAGTGTTTTTTTCAATACCAACAATGGTGGGTTTTCTTCTCTCCCCCTTTGAGATCAAAATGTTGGTTAACAATTGTGGAGTTGAAAAAAATTACTCTCCTTAGCCAGGCGCTGGTGGCACAAACCTTTAATCCCAGCACTCGGGAGGCAGAGGCAGGTGGATCTCTGTGAGTTCAAGGACAGCCTGATCTACAGAGCAAGTTCCGGGACAGTCTCCAAAGCAATACAGAGAAACCCTGTCTCGAAAAACAAAATCAAATTACTCTCCCTGGGCAATTTCTCATTACTAGTAAAACTGTTAAATATCAAACAATTAGTAAACTTGTACAAATCTGTTGGGTGCTATGGCTTGCACTGTGTTTTCAGGAGTAGAACATAGTTTTGACTTAAAGTTCATAAATATCAAGCAAAAAGAAATTCCTTTTCCCTTTTGTTTTTCTTGACAATTCCCTAGCTACACATGAACTTTAAGACAGACACTCCAGAGTCAATTTCAGGGTCCCCAAGGTTTCTAGAGCACAACTTGCATTGCCTCATAGAGTTTTGTCAAGCACAGACCTGTCATTTGCTTTCTCAATTCTGGCATACGCCATACTGCGGTCATTGAAGGAAATGGCAAAACAGCAGACAAAAACATAAAGCCTCAGGCACCAATAGCATGTGCATCTATCTCTTATGTCAACACAATTGGGAATTTGCAGGAGAAATAAGTAGGTTAAAAGACAATATTAAAGCTTCAGTCTCATTACGTAGAAATCTTCAAGGGTATGTTTTAAAATGGTTGTTTTAAGTAACAGGTATAATACTTAGCCAACTAGACATTTTGTATTTAATTTAAAAAAAGGCTAAGGTGTAGCTCAGTGGCAGAACACTGGCCTAGTATATATAATCCCTAAAACCAGAAAAAGCAACCGCAAAACCTGAAGAAATATCGAAAGTTCTCTATTACTCTGAGTAAATCTGATTTTATGCTGTTTTCCCCCTTCCTTTTAAATTATGGCTCTTGACTGATTTCAAAACCCATCATCATTACAGATAGTCTGTTGTGTGATATGTTGATTGCATTCTGACAATAAAGTTTATTTTGAATCAGAGGGCAAAATTAACCATAGAGGTTTCAGAAGACTGAGAAGTAGTAAGCCAGGACTTGGCAAGGATCTCAGCCCTTTAGGAGGAAGGAAGGGAAGAGACAGGAAGTCACTGGTAGCTGCTCCAAAGCTTGTCTGATCATTCAGTTTCTTACCACAAAATCTGACTCCCAATTTTTATCGATAAAGAATAATTAGTTAAATGCCTCAGAAGTCACATTTCAACAGTACTATTCTATGTGCTCTGCAGTGCCAGTGGCTTTAAATATTGCTTGACTCCTGCATTTATTTCAGGCACATTGTGCCTGAGCTCCAGGCTCCCTAACAATTCAACTGGCTTTTCCTAAATCTGTTCCTTTTCTTTACTGACCCCGTTGCTGATCAAACAGCAACATTATTCCCCTACCTCAGAGACTCAAGCCCCAAGTAAACCCCCTTATCTCTCATATCTTGCTATCTCCTCCTGAAACAGAACCTAAATCTAGTTCCTTAGCATCTCCTACTACCACTTTAATCGAGGTCATCACCAGCCTATAGAAGTGAATCATCTCATCCCCCACTTCCCACACAGGTGAGTTCTCCAACCATCATCCTTCAAAACATGTGCCCTGCACAGTGTTACCCAGCAGTCTCTCCGCACACTTAGAATGAACAGTGTGAACAAATGTGACCCTCTCTTTAGTCTCTGACTTCATTTAATATCCTTTCTCATTGCTCCCACCAATACTTCTTCCTGTTCCTCAAAGGGGCCAGAACCCCCTACATGAAAACTTTTGTGTTTGGCTGTTCATTTTCCCTTCCTCATGTCACTGGCTTCTCTGGCACATATTATCTCAAAAAACCTTCCCTGACCACATGACTGGAAACACACTCCCATCACTCCTTAGCTTGTTACCCAACATTCTTTTCCTTGTTAGCATATCACATGACACCTTTAATGATTAATAATACTCAAGCTTTAGTTTATGGGATGAATAAAGACAATGAAATATACACATGATTACCAACGACAGAACAAGAATACTATCGAGGACCTCAGTCTGATACATCAGCCTCATTTACTGACACCATTTTCTCTTCTAACTTAATCTAGGCTAAGTGTAAATAAAAATGAAAAAATAAATCCACCTCCATGAGCTGACTCAGGATGAATGTAACTGGAGTCCATCCAAGCATGTGAACAAGGAAACAAGACATAAATACTGATATTCAGACAAAAAAACTAGGAACCTTAACTACTAGAGTCTACACACATGTCTAGTGATAGGTAAAAGCCCAGACTCTTGAACAAACAAACTGGGCTTAAACACTGGTTCTGTCTGATTCTTAGGAGCTATACAATTTTCCTTCATCTTAGTTTTCTCAGTTCTGAAATGAGGACAGTAATAGCAGCACCTTCCATATGGTGTGCTATGGTAACAGACAAGGATGTGTTACATAGGATGCCCCTAAGTAAATGCTAGCTACTTTGTTTCAGGTAGTGCTACAGATCAAAGCCCAGGCCTCACATGTGTCCGGTAAGCACTCTGCCACGAAGTTACACCTCAGCCCCTACTATCCATTATAATTTAGTCACAAATGATTTACCTAGTGACGCTATTAAAATGCATACTCTGCCACCAAGTTACACCTCAGCCCCTACTATCCATTATAATTTAGTCACAAATGATTTACCTAGTGACGCAATTAAAATCTTAATGGGGAAAATTCAACTTATGCTTTTTATTTCCAAATTTCTTGCCAGGAAACGTGTGGACTATGTTGAACGGCAAAGTACTGTTTTCCACAAACACTGAAAATTTGGAACTGAGGTTTAAAACCAAGGAGTCATAAAATGGTGGAATATAAGTGGAAAGTTAAGTCAGTATACACCTTAGCAGACTGTATTATACAAAATTAAGTTTGGCATAGTTTAGTATGAGTATTTGCATGTTTCTCTCAAATACTGAAATCTGTTTATACCTGTTCAACTTCTCTCCATCAGAAAATGTTCACTATATTGAATGGCGGTATTGCTCATGCTTTCACTTCTCACAAAGCAGCACTAGTCAGTTACAAACCCCACAGTACTCTATAGAATACAGATTTTTAGAAATGCTTCTTCACAGATAGCTAGCTAACTACCTTTAACTAAAAGCCAAAAAGAGAAATGCAGCTTTTAGAGTTCATTATATTATGCAACTTGTAGGATGATTGGTCCCAGGCAATTAGCCCCTCATTAAAATAGCTATTACCAGGGCAATAAATATTTATGAAATAAGACAAGTTTGGTAGTGAAATGCTTACTGAAATCTTAGTTACAGAAGTAGTACTTTATCTCTCTGGAGATGCAAAGACTTGTCTGTTGCTATGGAGTCATAATGCTTGCAGCTAAATCTGACCTGTGGTAAACACGGATTGACAGCATGAAATGTAAACATGTTGAAAGGATCAACAAGCCTGAAATAAAAATGCTGAATTATCTCGGCAAACAATACTTATTGTATCTTACAAAGCTTAAACTCCTGTATCCCAAGAAGTGATCACAGCAGAATCCCGGGAAGTTACTTTGGATTTAAGGATAAAAACACATACCAGGTAACTACAGATGTGGCACCTGGTTAGTCCCAGATGTTTTAATGTCTGCTAAATTACTGCTATTAGTAAGACCAACTGGATTGTATGTGCTTATTTCAAGCCATGTGTTGCTGAAATAACACCTAGAAAGCATAACAGGTTTAAAACCATTCTTTATAGGTCCACAACCACAAAAGCTTTTAGATTTGTTTAAAGTGAGCAAATACATAGAAGCAATCTTTCCACTTTTCCCCTCCCCACTGTATACGACTGCATCCTATCTTCCCTTCCTAGAAAGCCCACCTCCCCAAGGTCCCTTACTAATTTAAATAACAATTTAAATAATTAATAGTAATAATAATAATAACATAAAGCAATGTTCAAACCTCAGTCTTATTTGAAGTTAGGCCTCTTAAAATGAAGCCTCCGTGTACAAATGAAATACAATTTTTAGTAATAATAATAATAACATAAAGCAATGTTCAAACCTCAGTCTTATTTTTGAAGTTAGGCCTCTTAAAATGAAGCCTCCGTGTACAAGTGAAATACAATTTCAAGTAATTCGAATACTTAAGGCAATCATTTTCGTAGGGTGTGCTCCCACAATGCAATTATTAAAAAAAAAAAAACATCATATAGCTTAACGCTTGATCTAGTAAATATGACGGCATATCAGCTGTTGTATTATAACAGTTTATTCTCGTGGCATTTCAACGACCATATTTACAGGTTTAAAACCATCACTAGTTCCTTGCTGGTTTTGGTATTCTTCCCTTTAAAACACCCTTTCTGTAGAAAAGCACAAGAAAAACCTGACAAACGCCACATTCCTTGCAATATTTTGGCAGGAGATGCATTAGTCTGTCTTTCCTTGACCGTAAGGACTCTATGACAAGTAATTTGTGGATGGACACGGCTCGGGGAAAGGAGGGGGGGGTCATATAACTCCCAAGCCAAGCAAAGTGTTGGGAGTAGTCATTTTTGAAAGCCAGAGCAGTTTTCATGCTAGCTCATCCCCGAATTTCCTGTTCAAGTTAATTAGCGAAGAGAGGCGCTGCTCCGGTGGGGATGCTGTAGAGCAAACGTCCGGAGGCGCAGCAAATCCGTTGGACTAACCGTGAAACAGTATCCACGCACGGCGGCGCCCAATCAGGAAGGGCCGCAACCGCAAACTCCCTCTTTGGGGAAACTTCAAGCGC